CGTCTGACTGTGCCGAGTCGTGTCGGTGGCAGAGTCTCTCTCTGTGCTCTCCTTCTGCATCTTGTAGAAGTAGCGATGCAGGAGTTTGTTCTTGTGCGGCTGCTCTTGCCTGGTGTGCTTGAACCTTTCCTCGGACTCTCTCAGGAGGTCCTGCAAGGTGTCGGCTGCCACCTGCTCTGAAAGGTTGCTTTCGTTCAGGCCATTGAGCTCCAGGATTTTCGACCTCTGCGACCAAATCTGTGAAGGCAGCAACCCACACCCAACAAAAAGAAATATTACTGCAGCCAAGCCACCGGGTCATGAAGCCTTTCAGAAACTCATTCGCTTCCTCGTGTTGAACCTCCGTGTTCTTCGTCAGCTCGTTGGCCCAGTCCAAGCAGTGCATGCCACTCTGCACAAGCTTCTCCAAGATCTTGCTCTTGCCACTCACGTCTGCTGCCTTGTAGTCACTGAGGATCTTCGCTGCTGCTGCTCTGTGCTCGGGGGTGGCTTTCTTGGCCTTGCACTGGTAGGACAGCGAGGTCAGCAGTCCCGACAGCTGGCCTCTCTCCATGCCGATCTTGCCCACTGCTTCTGTTGGCTCGGTCTTCACTGCTTGCGACTTGGGTGTGGGCGCCTTGGCCGTCCTCTTGGCAGCGGCCTTGGGCTCCCTCTTCACTGCTTTTGCAGCAAACTTGCCCGAGGAGGTCGCAGGCTTAGCCGTCTTAACCATTGCAAGCAAGCGAGTTCTTCTAAAGTGGAGCACGAGGGAACCGGTACCTTTGAGCACTCTGGGCACTGATGGGCATTGTCGGCCAGAGTATGTCTGGGCTTTGAAGGAGTGGCCTCCTTGTGTCGCAGGAGGCCACTCCTACACCTGATGCTGCATCCCGTACTGAGGAAAAATAATTAAAAAAAAGAAAGATAGAGAAAGAGCACCAGACACCGAGAGAGAGAAAGTTTGTATACATGTTTCCACGTACATATCTATACAGTTGTACACGTATATATATATATATGTATACATATATATATATATACAGATATAGAGATATGTATGCATACACATGCATATGTCTGTGTATGTCGATTTTGTGTTATTTATCGATTTATTTATTTATTTATTTATATATATATATGCTATCTGCAAATATATAGATATGTATATATATATATACATCAATATATATATATATATTGATATGTATTTAAGTATACACATATGATATATATATATATATATGCATACATAAACACACCGGGGGGGGGGTTGTGTAGGGTGTCGGGTTTAGGGTCCTAGGGTGCTGAACCTTAAACCCCAGACCCTAAAGCTTAAACCTTAGAGCTTAAACACCAGACCCCTAAACCTTAAACCTTAAACCCTAAACCCTAAATCTGAAACCCCTAACCCTAAACCCTAAACCTTAAACCTTAAACCCGACACCCTAAACTCCAAACCCTGAACCCTAAATCCTAAGCCCTAAACTCTGAACCCTATAAACCCTGACCCTAAACCCGAAACCCTAGACCCTAAGCACTAACCCCTAAACCCGAAACCCTGAGCCCAAACCCTTCAACCCAAACCCTGAACCTTAAACCCCAGACCCTAAACCTTAAACCTTAAAGCTTAAACGCCAGACCCCTAAACCTTAAACCTTAAACCCTAAACCCTAAATCTTAAACCCCTAACCCTAAAAAACCCTAAACCTTAAACCTTAAACCCGACACCCTAAACTCCAAACCCTGAACCCTAAATCCTAAGCCCTAAACTCTGAACCCTAAACCCTGACCCGAAACCCGAATCTAGACCCTAAGCACTAACCCCTAAACCCGAAACCCTGAGCCCAAACCCTTCAACCCAAACCCTGGGCCCTAAAGCCTAAGCATAAAACCCCAAACCCTGAAGGCCTAAACCCTTAACCCCGAACCCTAAACCCTAGCCCCTAAGGCCTAAACCCGGCAACAGGAACCCGAGACCCCAAACCCTGAGGCCTCAAGCCTTAACCCTAAACCCTAAACCCTAGACCCTAGGGTCTACCCTAAAGACTAAACCCTAAACCACAAGGCCCATACTCGAAAGCCTGAAGAGTGCCACTGTCGACGAAACCCGTTCAAAAAACGTTAAAATTTTTAACTTTTTTTAACATAATTTTTAACAGCCTTTTCCTTTAGTTTGCCTTCTAAATCCATGTTAAAAATTGTTAAAAAACGTTAAAAATTTTAACGTTTTTTGAACAGGTTCCCTCGGCAGTGGCACTCGAACGAACTCCAGACACACTATTCTTTTTGCGCGCTCCACCTCGGATCTGCACGCTGCCTGAGCGAAGCTCCGGAAGATGATGCTGCTAAGCCTGGATCACACGTGAACTGTCACGAACTGACACAAGCTGCAGAAGTCTTGACACAATCTTTGTACTTGCTTGGCTTGCGTGACAAGCAGCTCTCAGCTGGTGCACCGACGAGGCTCAATCTGTCTTCTGCTTCCTCCAAAAACAAGACACGGACAAACCCTAAACCCTAAACCCTAAACCCTAAACCCTAAACCCTAAACCCTAAACCCTAAACCCTAAACCCGAAACCCTAACCCCTAACCCCTAAACCCTAAACCCTAAACCCTAACCCCTAAACCCTCAACCCTAAACCCTAAACCCTAAACCCTAAGTTTATGCAATGCACTGCAGAGCATGGCTTCCACTGTAGTCCTGGGATCATGGGCATCGGCTTGGTCACCACGGCCTGCCAAAACCAAAAAAAAAGGAGTGCTCCTCCTCAATAGGAGAAGCCCTCCTGCAACTGAATTTAAAAGCATAAGTAGTGCAGCTGGGCCTGCTGCCTCCTCGGGAGCTGGTGGACCACTGGCCTGACCAAGAGGCTGCATGGATAACAAACCCGAAACAAAATCATCCCCTTCACAAAAACAAATTGCCTCGGGACCCTCATCATCCACGGCAACTGGCTGTCCCCGAGCCCTGCCGGGGAGTGGCTTGCTTGTTTGGCAGCACACAAGCAACAGGACCTCAACTATTGAGCATTCCGAGGCTGGCTTCGTCTTGGCAATCTTACTGGGGGGACCGGTCTCCTCATGAGCAGACAAGGGCAAAGGGCAAAAGCTTCGAACGAACTAAGAAGGAGGCCCTCCTCGACAGGAGAGCCTCCTGTGCGAACAATTCTGCATGTATCCTCGTCCGGCTCGCCATCCACTTTGGTCCAGCTCTGATAGCTCCGCATGGAGGCTGGCGACCCGTCCCTCCTCTTCTCTGCTGCTTCGCAGCTCCTGCCCCTCTTCTCTGGAGGTGCCTCGTGTGAGAGAGCACACAAAGCACATGCATGTCTCTATGCAGACACAACAGTGTAGCCACACAGTGCAGCCCAGTAGCCGGTGGAGGGTTCTTCGGGATAACCAGGGGCCTGGCCTTGGGCTTCGGGTGCTGCTGGGCCTTGGCTTCGCGGGAACAAAGAAAACACAAGCAACACAGGAAACTCTGAAAGTCTTTCTGCCGGAAAGGCACCGCTTCGGCTTGCTCTTGGCCCTCTTGGCCTGGATCTTCTTCCTCTTCATCACTCGGTGGCTGAAACTCCGGCTCACCGGCATCCTTCCACCCCTTGACCTTGGCCCACCACACCTTTCGCTGCTTGCCCCTGTTCTTCTTCTTCTTCGCCAAGGTGGGCTCAATGTAGTTGGCAAACTCCTTCAGGTCCCACCGGCCTCCACTGCCCTTGCTGTAGGGATCCCAGAGGTTCTCTCGGTTGGCCGAGTAGATGTAGAGCTCACCTTAGCGAGGAGACCCTCCTATACAGGAGACCCTCCTTTCCAGGAGAACCTCCTAAAAACTGCAAGGCTCAACTTGAAGGAGACCCTCCTAGAGTGAAGGAGAGCCTCCTGAAATCTGGATGCTGACATGTTGCACTTTGTGTTTAGGCAGCCACCCTCCCGCACATAGGACCAGTTGTGCTTGCATTTCTTGCACTTTCTCACATCGATGCCGGACATGTCATTGGGGTCCTCGTCCCACGGGTCGTCGTCCTTCTTCCACCACTGGGAGCCTTCACCCTTCTTGTCGTGGCCACGATCCTTCCAGCTGGAGCCCCACCCCTCAGCGACAGGACTGCAGAGAACCCTGGGCAACAATCTGAGCACACAAAATGCAGCCAAAACTAATGCAGCCAAGCGACACCAGAACCAGAACCTGACTGATGATGCCAAGACATCCCTGCTTGTGGCAGACAGAGGTCTGGGGCTGCACTGAAGGCTTTAGCTTGGGCCGAGAAGCTGGCTGGCAGGCAACGAAGCTCAAACAACAAGTCTCACCTGCACTGCACCTCACAGCATCTCCTCCTACTCTGCATGCACTGCACACTCTCATGCGCCGACAAGTCTGCAGGCAGAGGTAAGCATGCATGCAGTCAGAGCTATGTGCAAGCAAGGACATCTCTGGCTGTCAACATATGCATGTATACACAGGAGGTCTTCCTCCCAGCAGGGCTGCACAGAACTCTTCAGGGTTTCCTGCTTGCTCCAGCACCTTTCCCACTCGACTAAACTCTCAAGCAAGAAGATCAATTTGGAGATACACATGAGCAGATTTTTTTCCAAGGAGGCACTCCTCGACAGGAGAGTCCTCCTATATAGGGGACCTCACCATGCAAGTCTTGCAAGGGATATGACTTTCCACCGCGAGCTGATGTTTGCTACCATGTCTTTTCACTCAGGAGGGATCCACCAACCTCAACACAAATCAATCTGCCAAGATGCAGCTGACCTCGAGCCTTTAAAATTGTGCAGGCAGAACAGGACGGCATGTAGACCCATTGTTCTTTTCGAGAGATATGTACACACACACACACACACACACATCTCCTCGGATCTGCTCCATCGATCTCGATCATTCACTTGCATGCCAGACAGTGTCTTTATGAAACATGTTGGGAAAGAAAAGCCCTTAATTAACAGGTGTGATAAAACCCTTTAATTAAGCAAATAGCGCTTAAATTAAATTAACGCATAATCCCTTAACCATGATTTAAAGACTTTTGGAGTCTCTGGGGATGATCTCATCTTCAACCGTGAGGTTCTCTTCATGGGCGATTTGGTACGGCCTTGTCATGTCAGTGATGTAGTGCCGGTACTCATGGAAGTTGAGCCTGGTCTGGAGGCTTTCGAGGTAGTCAAGGTAGCAACCCTCCTCCGACCAATCGTCCAAATGGCCCTGCTCGAAGATTGGACGCGGCTCCCGCCCGTCGTGAACATCCTTGCACGCATTGTGCAGTCGGACGCGGAGCAGCTCGTACACACGGTTGTGCCAGATGGGAACCTGGGAGTGGCGATCATAGCAGTAAACAATGTACCTGTTGGAAATCCAGTCAGGTGTCTGAATTGCATCTGCCCTGGATCTAAAGATCCGCACGCCCTCCAGGGCTGCGAGCTGCAGGTCGATGACAAATTCAATGTCAGCATCTTCACGAACGCCTGCATGACTCTCCCTCTGCCACGCCGGTACGGGAGACATCATCACGAAGTAACGGCTGGCACTTCCATCTGCAGCAACCCCTCCCGGGATGAGACCATCTCGAACAATGGAGTGCAGATAGCAACGATACGTGCCGTGGTAAGCCAACTTTGGCATGCTTTCGAAGGCCTCGCTGATGTAACCAGTGGTTCCCACCCTGGGCCTATTTGCCAAATTGGGTTGCCAAAGAGAGGACAGATGGTATGAGTGGGTGTTCAGTGCCATCACGTCCGTCTCTTCCGAGAGGAGTATGCCGTCATGCCCCTGAATCGCTCTAAAGGCACGCAGTTGGACCTCCCTGTCGGGTTTAATGACAACCTTGACTTCGAACCGCACTTTGTCGTGAGTGGATTTGAGGACGTCCACCACGTGCTCCACACGAAGGCCTCTCCACATCATTCCCAACTTCTCGAAAAATTCGGACCATTCAATAGAATTGTCCCTGGCTGAGATGTGGACCGCCATTTCTGGCGCTCGCCGATTGGCGAATCCCCGGGCGAGAAAAGACATCTTCTTCGACAAGCAGACCCGGGCGTTCTCCGTGAGGAAACGGTAATCATCCGGCAAATCAGGGAGCTGATCAGCGGTAACCCAACGCGGCAGCGTGGGAGGCCTCGGCTTTGCCCTTGGAACAAGGGGTGCCTGCGCAACGGCCTCGCTCGGCTGAGGGGCGTCGGGGTCGTCGATGACGACCACGGGAGAAGGGGGCGCGACCACCTCAGCTTTCTTCAAGGAGTAGGTGTCGGCATTCTCATAGGGATCATCATCCTGCTCCACGAATTGGCTAAGGAGGGTAATTTCCTCTTCAGCCGCGACCGCGGTGAGTTCTTCCTGCGTGATACCCTCTGCCGCTTGGTTGGCCATGACAAGGTGTTCCTCAGCGACAACATTGATCGGGTCGCCGTCTTCAATCGCGAGGACACAGCCTGCGCCGGGCCTGGTGTCATTCCTGGCAAAGTCGAACTCAGTGATGGGCTGCGGATTGCAGCTCTGAGCCGAGTCATCGTTGACGACTTCGTACTCCGCCTCCGCCAGGAGTGGGCCGGCCAACACAATCTCCTCTTCTGCCTCCCTCGCCAGAGGTGGGTCCGGGGAATCAACAATCTTGGAAAGGATTCTCCCGGACGCGGGGGGCACGGTGAGGAACGGTTCGGGCTTGTTCAACACAAAGTGTGCATGAAAAACGGCCTCTCTTTGGTTTGCGATGAGTTGCTGTTCAACAGCGAGAAGGCGGTAATCTGTGAGAATGCCGCGGAGCATCGCCGCGTGCCACCTAAGGGTGCTCTGCAGATTTTGATCCGACGCGTCAGCGTGGAAGCCATCAGGCCTGCTGGTCTGCTCATAGAGCTCCACAGGGTCAATGATGGTGCATCCTCCGCTCATCAGATCTCGGGCGTGATTCTTCATGCACCTGTCATAGAGCTCCCCGACCGGGAAGAAACAGGAGTGATGGCTGCCCATCAAGAAAGACACACCCGAGACGTCAGTCCGGTGGAGGAGCTTGCACGCTCTCTCACACGCCCGATCAACACGAAGCTTCTGCTTTGCAGGCCAAGTGTCAATCTGCTCGAGCTCCTCGGCTGTTCGCTTTGTGAACTTGCTCTGAAGATGCCAAGTGTAGCCATGATAGCCGTGTTGGCCCCATACATCGTTTCCTGACCATCCAAAAATGATGTGGGTAGCCGCCCCTTCCGGGCGGTGATCCCTCGCCTCGTTAAGGTGCTTGAGCGCCTCATCGATGAGCTGGTCGAGGTGATACCCCCACTTCATTGAGTAGATTAGGCTCTCCACTTCTGGAATGTTCCTGAAAACGTCCTGCATGAGCGGCTCAATGGTCATGCGGCGCGTAGGCTTCCGCCCCGTGTAATGGCACAACGCAAGGGAAGAGTCTCCGACGATCAAGAACCGTCGCCTCTCTTCCGGAGGGAGCGAAATGCGCTGAAGGGCAGGAGTAAAGAGCTTCTCGACAAGACTCGAAGTCTTCGCAAAATACTGGAAGTCGGAAGCGCCTACGCTAAGCTTGGCAATTCTGCGGCAAATGTCATAGTGCTTAGTGGAATCGATTGCACCGCCCGCCTTCGGTCCAAACGCCAGGGTGGCCAGATCCTGTGCATGTCGGTAAAGGATCTGTATCCAACCCCCCAGGGTGGAGTCACGAAGCACGGAGGCATCAATCTCGGTCTCCGAAAACACACGGACTCCGTGCTTGCGATAGAATCGCTCGTAAAGCACCGTCCAATGGGACGAAGGGTCCTCTTCACGCAGCTCCCGCCAGCGGTAGATGGGAATTGTGCCGAGAAATAAGTCGTCGTCGGCATCATCATCCTGTGGCTCAACCACAGCTTCCGCCAGGTCACTGAAACTCGGTGGAAGAAGGATGCCAGCCATGGCGTCAGCCAGGCGGTCGGGGTCCACTAGCGCTTGCTTGAACTCCGCGACACGCTGCTGGCGTTCCTCGTCAGTCAGAAACTCGGTCATGGTCGGCGAGGTGATGATGGCTGGGCACGCTGGGACTACAGGGGAGCTTGATCTAGCCGCTGCAGAGGAGTTCACTTCCTTAAAGGCTTTGTGAATAGCTCGTGCAAGAGGTTTACTGTAATTTTCTGATTCCTTCAGGCATTTAGCATGCTCGTGGCTACGAGTGCACTTCTTGTCGTTGAGACGATTGTACACTGTTTGAAGGGTAGTGGCAACACACCACGGCTTTTTCACGGGAATACCCTTCTTGTTATGCAATCCGAACCTGCAACCATCAAATTTGGCATAAACAAACGGATGCCTATCAAGCCACTTCCTCACTTTGTCCCATCCCCAATACTCACAGTCCCTTGGCCATTCAACACAGTAGTCAACGGACGCCTTATCAAGGCCCTGAGAAAGATCAACGAATGATGCCCACAACTTCTTGAACTTTCTTCTGGCATCAAGCACAGCATCTCTATTTTTGGGAACCTTAAGGTTGATTCTAGTCCATTGACTGCCACCAGTGCAAGGCAAGCTAACCCATGTTAGAACACACGAGCGCCAGCTCGGTGGTGTTCTTTGGCAATGTCGATGATGGCTCTACGGGTATCTGGTGAGTTAAGGTCCATGCTTTCGGTGACTCTAACTACCTTACACTCGGGAAACTCATGATGAGCTATTTCCCCAATGATGGAGTCATCACTACAGCAAACCTCTATAATGACCCGCTTCGTTTTGCTGTCGGGCCTCGAGTCGCTCGCAACGGCGGGCGGCGGAACGCTGGCCGGTGTAGCCTTACGGCTCTCGAGCTTCCGCTGAGTGATTCCCATCAATAGCAAGGCATTTCGCCACTTTTCAGCATTGGTAAAGGGTTTTGTAAGGATGTCAGCAGCTTGAAGATTGGTGTTGATGTAAGCAAGGTCATAGTGCTTCCTACGAAACTGCTCTGCGATCCATCCTAAATTGATTCTTTGAGTCTTGTCAGAATGACGGAAGGCTGGGGATTTTCCAGACTCTAGGATGCGGATGGTGGCCTGATTATCCTCTAAGACAACTGGCTGAATCGAATGAGGCACAGACATTATTAGTCCGAAGTCGCAAGGTTTCCTAGTGACTCCAACCTCAGTATCGACACCACCCCCCGAACCCCTTATGCCCTCGGCTTCCCTCTGGAGGATGGCCTCCGCTTCCGCGTGGCGGCGGTATTCTGCGGTGGACCTTCTATACACGAGGATGCCATACTCGAAATCATCTGGAGGCAGAGTGCGTTCGTCTTCATCCAATTCTTCCCAAGCAACCGCCCTTTGATGCAAAGTCCACTTCCCTTTTTGGAGCAACCAAAGATCCCTGATAGGGTGACTAGTCAGCTCAACGGGAAAGGGTAAAGAGCTACTTTTGCTAAAAACCTCCACAATCCTTCCGTCTGCAAGGAGATGACGTCCTGTCTTGTTGATGGTCGAGATTCCCTGGAAAGGATAAGATTTGGGTTTGAAATCGTGCTTAGCAATGTCACTACGAAGAGGCTTGGGAGCTGTATCCCCCCCCGCGTTCAGGAGCACGCTCCATAGTGCAGATGAAGGAAGACCCAAGGCTCGCAGAGTAACGTTCGCACATACGACTTCTGCTTCAGTGGAACTAAGCGCGGTGCTCGTTTGCTTTTTGCTAAAAGCGGACAAGGGAAAGTAGGTGTTGGGTCCTACCAACGCGAGGAAACCTCCTGAAGTGCTTTTGTTGTCATGTTCGCCTGCGTGATCAGAATCAGCGAACAGCCAGAGCTTACACTTATCAAGGGAGTCTCCTATAAAGCAGGTCATTCGATGGTCAAGAGTGGACGCAACATAACACATGAGTCTGTGCAGTGCCTTGTCGCAGTCGGCAGACCACTTAGTGACCCGGCTAGCTAAACCCTGGACAGCACGTAACAAGTCATAACGAGCCATCCTTGCTGCAAACAGCAACTTCATGAGCACACGACTCGCAATAGGAGCAAGCTTGCCTTTGGGTTCAGCCTCCGCGTCAGTGGGGCGAGCGATTTTGTCATCATAGAAGGGCGTTGATACCTTTTTAAGGTTATGCCACTCGGGACCAGTGAGTTCTTTGTAGCGGTCGATGGCCTGCTGCAAGAAGGAACTCATGTCATAGACGACTTGTCTGGTCTTAGCATACATACAACCCTGATGATCACTCAACTGATTGACATCATAGAAAGCGTGTTTGCGGGCTGCTTTCTTGGCATTAAGTTTGTCTCTAATCTTTTTCACGGCTGCCATTGCGGAACGCTCGGTGTGACCGTTGGCGGCAAGATAAGTAGCACCTGTCCATAAGTGATCACGTTTGTGCTTAGCACCCCCCGTGTCCCAGAGCTCGTCTGGCGCGGCCTCAGAACCTAGAGGGCGCATCAATGTGAGTCTGTGCGGACTAAGGTCAAGTGCGACGGCTTCCGCCGCGCGAGGCTTGAACAACGCCTTGCGGGGCTGAACGTGATGTCGGACAACCATCCCTTCTTCAGGGTAGTATTCGGTGAAATCTTCTTTGGCTGCGGCAGTGGCAGGTTTGGCAGCGGGGTCAGGAAGGGATTTGTCGAAGACATGCGCAAAAGGATGATCGGCTTTTCCAAGCGATGAAGACTGAGATAAGTGTTCACATCCCAGATATCTTCCGATGGGAGTAGGTGTATCCATATCGATGCGAGAACCGATGAGTTCCCAACCCTTGGCTAGGTTCTCTTTTGGCCCGGCCATCTTGAAATCATCTACATACACGGCTAATAAAAGCTTCAATGTGGGATGATAAAAGACAGATGGCCATGCAGCGGGAAACACGAGCTCAAAACCAACCTCCCGTAAGCGCTTTTCGCAATGTTGCTCCCAGAAGCCCCCGCTGTCTGGGTGCCCGTAAAGAGCCAATCTGAGGCGGACGACGGGGTCCCTAAACTTGCCGACCCACTCCTTAGGCCAACGCTCACGTGGGAGCCTGACCCAAGTGTCAGCGCCTTTCAGAGTCGTTTGCGTGTACGCCTGTTTACCATCCCCCTGTTCCACATCGTGGCCGGGGGCATGGCCATAGGCGTCGAGAACCTTACCCGCTTCCATGGTGGCGGGACTAGAGCCCAGCTCACTAAAGAGAGCGGTGTCATTGTTCTCGTCCTTCACATTGTTGCCCTGAAAGACGGTCCTACCCTTGAACTTCCGTAAGGGATTCCCTTTAGGAAGCTCACTGCCCTTTTCCACGCAGATTTCAAAGATTTTGCCAACGTGGGCCTTCTTTCCTCTTTTGGCTGCCTCTTTAGAGACTTCTTCCCATTCACGAACAGATGACATGTCCCAGGCTTTCTTCTTCATCAACTTTTCCCATTCAACGTCAAGAGAAGCTTGGGCCTGAGGATCAGCTAACAGCTCTTTTCTTCCTACTGGCCTGGCAACCATAGCCATAGCTTCCTGAACTTGCTCGGCAGTAAGAGCGCGGGAAGCAGGGATCTTGTCCCTATGTTGATGACTAGACATGGGAACTGTAGGCATACATGGGAAATCTTTGACAGCTTCTTCCGAAGTGTGGGGTTTGGTAAGGATGTCGAACTCAGTACGACCAACCCATTTGAAGCTGAGCTTCTTGTTGCGCTTGCGTACATGACGCCATTCATCACAATCGGCTATGATGTCCGTACCTCCAATTGGCATGATTTTGGTCAATCTCTCTTTACCAAGAGCGGAGATAGGAACAGGACAATCAGTGAGATCAGGGGAGAACAGTTCACGTCTCGGAGAGTAGTGAAAGCGGATGAGCTTATCCCCCCGAATTGTCCATTCATCTTTAACCGGATTAGCTACTGCAGAGGGCCTGGCGCTGCTACTTGACGAGGGAGTTTCTCGGGCCTCGAGATCTCTCAAAGCTTGCTCTCGAGCCTCATCATCAATGGCCTTCTCCTTTTGTGCTTTAGAGAGACGGACCCATAGATCGCTCGGAATGCTGTCCGGCTTTCTAGAACCTCTAGTCCCCCCGTAGCGACGACCTAGTGTACCCCCCGAATCATAGTACTTCCCACCTTCCGGCAGAGGAATCTCCTTGCCGGTTTTGGGGTGAAGAACTTTAGGGGGCTCAACCTTCCGGTCGGCGTCAGAAGCTTCAGCGGCCTGTTCAGCTGAGGGCTCAGCGTCCTGATTGTGGAGTGACTCCGTCGCTGGTCGCTCGAGGGCATCGGCAGCGAGACCTTGTTGCACACGTTCGTACCTCTGTTTCATGGGAAAAGTGAAATCACCTTCAGGCACCTTGAACTGGTATGCTCTTATGGGCTTGATGCATTCATGGAAGTCCTGTCGATTTAACTCTTTCAGTGAAAGAACCAATACCTCGTGCTTCCATTTCATGCCCGGCTGAAAATGATATCCCACGAAAACACCTGGTTCAGCAGTTGGCTCGAACCTTTCACGATTCTTGCGCTTTTTCTTGGGTCCAACCCAATAGTCGATTCTGCAACCAAAGGGAATGACCTTTCCCGGGAACTGGCTCCCGAAACGCTTGAACCACGGTGTAAACTTCGCCCCATGGGGGTTACTTATATTCACAGCGGTACACGCATGCTCGAGAGCCTGTGGCCAGTACACATGCGAGAGCCCAGCCTGAAGCAAATTGCTCCTAGTACCCTCGGTGGTGGCGCGCACTGCGCGTTCTGCGATCGCGTTGGATTGATGAATATACGCTTTGGATTGTTCATGTCTCCAACCTAAGAACTTGGCGGCAGAGATGAGTTCTTTAGCTTGATCGCTGTAGAATACCCCTACCTCGTCAGAGGAGGAAACGAAATGTTGCAATGCTGCAATGCACTCATCCTCTGACCTCAGTGCTGAAGGGTAGGCATACATAAAAGAAGTCGCAACATCCTTCAGTACGAGGGCCAATCTGGATTCTTCTATAACCGTATCCCTATCACGGTACACAATGATGTGATCCGCAGTGATATGGTCTCCAAACGCCTTAGCTTCGACGCTGTGCCAGCCATCCGTTTGGTACGAAGGCGGCTTGTACATCTTAGCTCTTTGGCAAACATCACAGAATGGATTTTTGGGAAGGTGCGTCATGAGATGCGCCGCTGACTTGGCTTCTTTCTTCAAATTCTCAATGCGCCTCGACCTCTTGCCTTCCCCACCACTACCCTCACCAGGATCCCCATCTGGAGCATGCCTCTCTCCTTCCGGAGGAGGAGGGAGGACGCTCGGCTCACCTGAATCGGGTTTCGGCGACCTGATCAGTTCCGTTTCATCAAGGAACTCTTCATCCGGAGATGAAGGGATGGGGGCAACAGCTTCTTTCAATAACCCCTCGACTTTTGACCAATCTGGTTCATCCGAAGGTGGTTCGGCTTTGGAGGCTTCTTTGGCAATCTTCTTCTTGTTTGATGGTTCCTCAGGCTTCTTTTTCAACTTCACTTTAGGCTTGCTTTTCGGTTCTGGGGCCGGAGCTGGAGGATCCATAGTAGCTAACTCGTAAAGAGTCATCTCCTCATCGATTTCCGCAGGCACTGCTGGAGGGAAGTTCTTCTGTTTCGGCAGCAAGAACCCCAGTGACTTAAGCTTCTCTAGCTGATGCGAATCCAGCCTGTGCACAGCGCGATTGACGTATCCCGTGATGCTCCAACGCTCGCCCTTCCAGGGAGTGACGCAATGGAAAGTCTTTGGATCGAAGGAAATGATCTTCGACTTCGACCTGTGCAAACGACCTCCCAGTTTGGCACCAGTGGGGGCGATCTTGTTGATGCAACCTGGCTCATCCTTCCGGATGGTGTCATCGTGAATCCACAATTCGCCTCCGGTGAAATCGCCAATGGTGTAGTTGAGGTGTTCACGGTGATTGTTGACATCCTTGTGCATTTTAACGCCTGAGTTCTGATTGACAGCAATCGATGTTATTGGGCCATCCGCTCCATGATGTTTAAGATAGGACAGAAGGTACTTAATCACCTTGGGGTAGGAATGAGTGCGATTGGTTATCCCTTGCATCCCCCCATGTGAAAAAGCCCCGAAAATCATGTACTTCGAGTCCTTACTGTCCTTCGGTTTGATGGCTTTCCTGTTGAACCTAGATTGCTTAAAGTTTGAGTCCTTCAGCAATCGCAAGCATGCCTGATGGGAGAAATCCTGCTCCTGGATAAGTTGCGCGGCAATCTGTTCTGGGTTGGTGATGGTCTCAACAGCATCATCCGTATCGATCCGAGTAGACTCGTGTCTTGAAAGGGCAGGACAAGCGATACCCTCCTTCCAAGACTTCAAGTACGGAACGTTATCCTTCACATCAAGGAAAACCTTGTCACCTCCCGGACTCCTGAAATAGGGTCTCTGAAATCCTTTCCAAATGAAGTCGTAACCCAGATCCATGCATCTCTGTCCTACTGAAAGAACATTGGGAGTGTCGGGGAGAACATAAGGCTTGGCTATGCTGTTGAGGGATGGTATCCCTACATCACATTGCGTGCCTGCGTAACTCGGTCCATTCGCAGTTCAAATGTTGATTGGGCAGTCCGATTCGTACGGATGCAGATTCACAAGCTCCCGCTCTGAGATGAGATCCTGAGCACTCCCTGTGTCACCAATCCATTCGATGGGTGGCGATTCTGATGATAGTTGAACCTTAGCGGGACAAGACACTCTCAACCCTTTTGGAATGCAATAGTTGCAACCAAACTCCGTATCGCAACAGTAATTGCAACGGCTTGGTTTGTCCTCCAGACTGTCTTTGACCGTAGCTCTCAACATGCGAGCGGCCATAAGTGCATCTCTGGTGGATTGATTGTCTGGCTTGGGAGTGTAGTCAACAGACCACTTCTTGTCATACCTGCGCTGAGGATTCTCAACAGGGAACTTAAGCTCTCCATCTCTGAGTGGGAAGTTGATGTACATTGGGCTGTTGTCAAAAGACACTGCTGGTAGCGCCAAACGCATGTCAGTGGAACACTGAGGGGGCCAGTACGACTCATCCTTCCGGAGAGTAAAAGCGTCGGCTTGGGAAGCCGTGCCGGCCATCATTGCTCCTAGAAGGCAAACTGCTGCAGGGAGAGAAGGTCCGCCACTCCTCCTTCGAGCTGAGCCCTTCGAGTTCCCGGAGCCATGTGATCCTTTCGAACCCTTGCTTCCCTTAGAACCCTTGGAGCTAGCCCTGGAGCCCTTGCGTTCCTTCTTCTTCTTCTTCTTGTCCTTGCCCTTGTCAGGGCGCGCAGATCCCTTTTGACTTCCGTCGGGTGTAGCAGCGGCACCTGGCTTTCCGGTGTGCATGAATTTGCAATTCTCTCCACGGTCGCAACGACCTTGTTTGTAGAACTTGCACACTCGAGGCTTTCCTGACGGGGAGTTGGGTCTAGAAGGACTTCTCCTCGGCCTCCGCCGGGTGACTGCGATCTGCCACGTCCGCTGGGCGTCTGGTGCTTGTATTTACAACTGCCACCATTCTTGCAACTGCCGTTCTTGACAAAAGAGATGCAAAACCCTTTGGGTACTTTCTTGGGTGCAGGCGCAGTAGGAACAGCAGGAGCTCCAGTTTGCTTGGCAATCCGCTCCCGGTTCCTCTCGAGCCTTTTGCGATTCAAGTGGCTATTGGCGGCGTCGTAGAGAAATTTAAACGATCTTTCACTGGAGCCTTCGGCAGCCCTTTCATAGATGGCAATATCGTGCTGAAGTGCTTTGCATTTCTTTACCTGCCTATGAAAGAGCGGTTCGAGAACCTTGTCTTCAGGGGTGGTCTGAATGCCTGAAAGCACCGTATCCCAGTTCCTAACGAACATCACAAGGTTTTCGTTTACCAACGTCACTGAAAGGAGGTCTTCCATGTCATACACGGAATTGTGTAGGATGTTTGTAGCAAAGTGCTGATGAAGGAGAAACAGGATTTGTCTACCCCTCACTAGCCTCCCGGCGTGAGCCTCCCTCTCCTTGAGGGTGTCCATTTGGCGCGCGAAGTCACCTTCAAGGACATTTGTCACTGCCGACAAGACCTTGGCATCGAGAGTAGAGAAGCCACCTGTGTCCCTCAACTCTTCTTCCTTAGAGTCCTTGTCCCATACCTTCGAAAGCCATTCAAAAGCTTCATCCGGCTTATTGGACGCTGCAACTACAGCTTCACGAACCCTAATTCGCCAGTTCCTGTACTGTTCAGGTGTCGGGAACTTGGGGAACAGGATCTTCTCGGCCTCCTTGGATTTGGTCTTGTTTACATCCTCATCAACTTCCTCCTTCTCGTTAGTCTTTCCTTTGGCAAGTTGCTTGATGATTGCCTTGAGCTGCTTGGGCGAGAGATCAGAAGAGGAACTGGAATCCCTCTTCTTGCTTTTCTTGTCTTTCTTCTTGCTCTTTTTCTTTTTATGACTGCTGCTCGAGTCATCATCATCGCTGCCGTCATCATCTCCATCAGGGCCTCCCCCGTCAGGGTGGCGTCGGGGCCTTGACCCTTTGGCGTCCTGAGGCGGAGTATTGATGGGATAGGTAGGGATCAGACCCGGTGGCGCAGATGGGGCGGACCCCGTTGCGCTTGCATGAGCCTGCAGAGCCGCGATGGCCTGGTTTAGCTGCGATTTCAGTTCAGCATTCTCCTTTTCAGCCATCTTTCTCTTCTCTGACTCGTGACTCATCATCACCCTGAAATCCCTAACTTCAGCAGTCAAGCGTGAAATCTCAACCTCAGATGTCGCCTGAACTGCATGTGTTGCCTGAGCAGCGGCGACACGGGCACTGTCCATTTCAGCATTGAGGAGATCCGCGTTGCTGACGGCCTTAGCTTCCGCTTGGTGAAGTTGATCACGCAACCTAGCGTAGGTAGCGTCAGCGTGGCTCTCAGCAGCGCTTAGTCTTTGGGCCAAAGCTTGAGCTTCACCTCGTGCCACGTTGATCTCATTGGCCTGCGAGTCAAGCTGCGACTGACCTGTTGCCAATCTCTGTCTGGCCTGTGTCTCCTCACTACCTAATCTGGTTTCGGCCTGAGCAAGTTCAACTCTGAGTTGTGACACTCCCGACATGACATTCATACCCATTGCTTGGAGTTGCTCCTGAAAATTGTTTGCGAGCTGACCAATGATCTGATTGTGGCGATGTTCAGCTATCTGCTCGAGTAACGGCGACCTGTCGTTCTGAACAAACACATTGCTAATGTTTGCTTGATTCTGCAGGATTCGCTGATCGCCGATTGTCAAACTGTTCATAGTCGAGGAGGTCGGTTGGAAAAGACTCTGGGCTGACGGACTAATATCTTGGGATGAGCTTCCTCCGGCTGCTATCGGAAGGCTGGCCGGTGGTTGTCTAGCACTAGGGGACACAACCTGCCAAGGCGCGGACGCAGTCTGACGGCTCGAGGCACCGGTGGTGACACCGGCCTCGGAAACTGCACCCTTCTGAAAGAGCCTATGGTCGTGTAGCCTTAGTGCCGTTGTGGTCAACGGGAGCTCACCCTCCCGGGGAGCGGCGTCCTCACCTGGAGCATTACCATCAAAGGACATGCTCAGGTTGCTCGCTCCGTCGTCCGGGACTGGTATGCCTGCAGGACCTAGCGGAGCTTGGTCCGTCATCACAGAGTGGTCAAACTAGCGTGGTACTACGGCTGATAACCTATTGTTACCAGCAGACAGCCCCAATATTTAGGGAAACGTGCACACGCCTTTTTCTTGAGCCATGAGCGAACAACGGTAAGTAACGAAATGTCTTTCTGTAACAACATCTTTTTGAGTACTTACAAGTGGGGTTTCAGGTTTCGGGTTTAGGGTTTAGGGTTCAGGGGTACTGATATGTAGTGTTATAAGTACCCTAAGGTTACCATAGGCTACCCTTCTAACCCCACAAGTGCCCCGCATGTGCCTGGCAAGGCCCTCAGCCCAGAACTCTCCATTGCAAGGTTCGGAGGGCTTACGGCTTCGGGTTGGGGTTTAGGGTTTAGGGTTTGCGGCTTGGGGTTTAGGGTTTGGAGGTTTTGGGGCAAAAGAAGCCGCAGTCAGAATGAGAAGCCTCCCCGTGTGGAGTTCTGGCAAAGAGAACGGGGTCTGTACATTTATAAGGTTGCTTAAGGGAGGGGGGGTTCAAGGGGAGGTTATGTAAGCCAAGACCCAAGGTTCCCTATGCTACTGCCTTCGGCTCCCAAACTTCCCACAAGTTCCCTAGCTACCTACCCCCCCATGAACCCCCTTCCCTTAAGCAACCCTACAACACATGTCTACGCACAGGCCCTCGGGCCAAACTGAATCAGGGGGGGCTTGCGGCCCCCTCAGGCGAAGCAAGAAGCCCTAAACCCTAAACCCCAAACCCTAAGCCCTAAGCCCTGAACCCTAAACCCTTGTTTCTGCGGGGAAGTCGAGCGCTTCCTGTGAGATGCTTGAAAACGCCCTACCCCTTGGAGCCGGGGCCCGAGAGGGGAGAAAACGAGCACCTGTAGGCCGCGGGCACGGGCCCGAGATCGGATCGTCTGCTGTCTCGAGATGCTGCGTCTTCTGAAACTAACCCCTAACCCCTAACCCCAAACCCCCCTAAACCAGTCGGCAGCCGCTGTTTGCAACCATGCCATCACACCCGCACGCCGCGGCGCCGTCCAAAAAAACACTTGTAAGGCAACTGGCATACCCTAACTTCTCTCAAACCCTCAAGATCTTGCAGACCCTCTCAACCCTATAAACCCCACAAAACCTAAATCCCGTTGAAATTTGCCCTCAACACCCTATACCCTGAAAGCCCTACACCCGATGAACCCTAAACCCGAAAACCCTAAACCCGAAAACCCTAAACCCGAAAACCCTAAACCCTAAACCCTAAACCCTAAACCCAGAGAGAGAGGGGTTTAGGGTTTAGGGTTTAGGGTTTAGGGTTTAGGGTTTAGGGTTTAGGGTTTAGGGTTTAGGGTTTAGGGTTTAGGGTTTAGGGTTTAGGGTTTAGGGTTTAGGGTTTAGGGTTTAGGGTTAGGCCTCCAGGGGCTCAGCGGAATCCGCTGGGTGCAACCGATCTCTCGGAGCGAGCCGAGTGACTCAGAAAGTGGAGCTGGCGGAGGATGGCATCCTTGAACTTAGGGTTTCGGGTTTAGGGTTTAGGGTTCAGGGTTTAGGGATTAGGGTTTAGGGTTTAGGGTTTTGGGTTCGGCAGCTCCGGATCGAGCAGTTTCATGGTAAAGATAGATGTACGGCTCTGATATAACACCCACCCAAAAAATCCCAGAACATTGAGAAACGAAGTGTTTCTCCAATCATACAACAATGGGCTACAGCTTCGAGTTGCTCGTAGCTCATACCCTGTCGTTTAAGCTCTACCTTTCAATTCTAAGTCAACTCTCAGCTTCAAGGGCCTATGCTTGACATGAACGGACACACAAAAAAAACACCCAAACTTTGCTAGCCTCATGTTCTTGCTATTGCGACTCTTGCGCGCTGCCTTAGCCTTGAATTTTACGGACACCCGAAAGCTACTTTTTGTTGACCTCATTTTCAATTTTCTTGCCACTGCATCGGCATCTCCTGCGGGCTGCCTTAGCCTTGACATGAACGGACACCAAAACTCTATTCCCCTTGGAAATATTATTTTGTATAAAACCCAAGAGGATATTAAAAATATTGGTTTTATTGAGGTTCTAAAGAAAGTATAGAAAAAAGCAACCTAATTTTGTTAGCCTCATTGGCTTGGCTGAGAGGACTGCAGGAGCCGATCTGTTACGGGACTTTTTTTGGGCATGTTTTCTTTCTCGGGCTTGGCGAAGACAGGAGCCGATCTGTTACTAAACCCTAAACCCCAAACCTTTTGGGGTTCTTAAACCCTAACCCTAAACCCTAAACCCTAAACCCTAAACCCTAAACCCTAAGCCCTAAACCCTAAACCCTAAACCCTAAACCCTAAACCCACTCTGGCTTGGGAGCTTCGAGCTTCATGCCGTTCCTCGACTTCCTTAAGCCCCAAAGGTTCGGCGCCCGGTGGCCAAGCGCCCCTCTGCTATGCAATTTAGGGTTTAGGGTTTAGGGTTTAGGGTTTAGGGTTTAGGGTTTAGGGTTTAGGGTTTAGGGTTTAGGGTTTAGGGTTTAGGGCTTAGGGCTTAGGGCTTAGGGCTTAAAGAACCCCAAAAGCTCGCACAGAATCACCCCTTTAGAAGGCTCCCGCCCCCTCCCCTCTCCCAAAAAGGGGGGGACCCCCCAATCCACCTTAACGCCTAAACCCCCGAAGGTCGGAACTCCCGCCCACCCCAGAGGGAGCGCAAAGAGGAGCTTTGCACTTGGCGCCTGCTTCGCGCCCACATCCTTCTCCAGCTTGTCGAGGCCTCGCTGGAAAGGGTTTAGGGTTTAGGGTTTGGGGTTTGGAGTTTGGGGTTTAGGGGGTTTAGTTTAGGGTTCAGGGTTTAGGGTTTAGGGTTCAGGGTTTAGGGTTTAGGGTTTAGGGACATGGGCAGAATATGGTTAGGTACTTAGGCTCCCGTGCTATTGCAGGCAGCGGGCCCTCCCTGAAACCCTGTAGACCCATAAGCCCTACATAAGCCCTTTAAACCCTAGATCCTATATACACAACTTGCAAACTCCATTAGCCCCATAAAATTTTATGAACTTGCTACAGAGACCCAATAAACAATATCAATATCAATATCAATATCAATATCAATATATGTATATATATATATATGCCCTACGATAAGCGAGAGAAATCCTCCACAAACCTGCAGACGCCTTATACAGACCCTACATAAGCCCTAGCCCCATAAACCCTGTCTAAACCCTCTGGGCGCTGTACAGCCCCTAAACCCCCTAAACCCTAAACCCTAAACCCTAAACCCTAAACCCTGTATAAACCCTAAGCCCTAAATTTCGCATTTAGTGGCAGCCCAGTCGCGCTCGGTAATCGCGCCGAGGCTCGACCGGACATCCTGGCACGGCTGGGGGGTTTAGGGTTCAGGGCCTATAGGGTTTAGGGTTCAGGGTTCAGGGTTCAAGTTTCAGGGCTTAGGCGTTTGGGAAAATGGCATAGAGGCTTCCTGCTCCCTCAAAGAGAAGCAGCGCGGCCAGGCAGCTTCAACAACGAGCCTCCCCTTTGCAACGCCTTTGTGTACTATGGGGGCCTTAATACTTAGAACAGGGTTTTGGGGCTTATTACGTATTATGGAAGAAAATCTACTGGACCATAAGAAATACTTGGAACAGGGTTTTGGGGCTTACCATGATTCTAAAGGGGCCATAAGGGAATCCAGCTAGTATTTATTCCGACCCCTATATTAACTCAACTCTCTCGTGTTCCCGTTCCGTGGCGTCGCACACACACACACAAGTGGCGAGATGACGACCATGGCTCGCTCGACTCTGAGACTCTTGGATCCTCTTTCAGGCGTCGGACGAATCAAAACAAGTGGAGGGCCATGCTCCCTACAACCCTAAAATCCCCTTACCCCAAGCCCTAAACCCCTAATGAGCCCTAAACCCCTAAACCCCCTCATGAGCCCTAAACCCCTAAACCCCAACCTCTAAACCCCTAAACCCCTGACCTCAAACCCTAAACCCTAAACCCTAAACCCTAAACCCTTGACCCCAAACCCTGAACCCTAAACCCTTGACCCCAGACCCTAAACCCTTCCTAAAAGTCCACAGAGCGCGGCCTCCGTGCCCGGCGTTGGGTTGGCCTTCGGAGCTCCCAACATTGCTTCCAGGGTTTAGGGTTTAGGGTTTAGGGTTTAGGGTTTAGGGGGGTTTAGGGTTTACAGGGTTTAGAGAGTGTAAGGCTCTCAGGGTTTCAGGGTTTTAGGGTTGTAGGGTTTTTGGGTTCGGGTCTTAGGCCTTTAGGGGGATTAGGTTAGGGCTTTAAGGATTTTAGGGTCTCAGGGTCTTGAGGCTTTAGGGTTTTATGGCTTTGGAGGTTTTTAGGGCTTTAAGGGTTTGTAGGGGCTCTAGGGTTTTAGGGCATCCGAGGTTTCTAAGGGTTCAGGGCGGCTCCGGGATTTTGGGTTTGAGACTTCAGGTCGGCGGGTGGAGGGCTGAAGGGGCACCACGCTCAAAATGGAACGGGTGCTTGGGAGGAGGGGGGGGAGCGGGTGGTGATCTAAATACATAGAGAAAGATGGTGCAGCTTGTTTTTTGCGATTCTCGTCGCCCTACGTAAACCCGGGACCCTGCACCCTGACAACCCCAAGCAACCCCTAAACAAATCCGAGCTCCAGAGATGTTTCGGCTCGTGCCCACCCCCCCCCCCCCTTTCTGGGCCCCCTGCCACGTAAAAAGTTCTGCTGGCCCTGCACTTGGCAAAGTCCATTTAGCGACGCTTCGGGGGCTTTTTTGGGGGGTGTTTGGAGGCGTTTCGGCTCAGGGAGGCTCCGGGTTTAGGGGGTTTAGGGTTAGGGTTTAGGGTTTAGGGTTTAGGGTTTAGGGTTTAGGGTTTAGGGTTTAGGGTTTAGGGTTTAGGGTTTAGGGCTTAGGGCTTAGGGTTTAGGGTTTTTGGGTTTCCGGGCTCAGGGGCTTCTACCCAACTCCAGGATGGCCCAAAAAAGAGCCCAAAGCACTCAAAGAAGCCGCGAAAAAGACCCGAAGATAAGTCAGCAAAGACTGAAGCCCCCGAGACAAAGCCCTGAGAAAGACAACTGAAAACTGAAAATCCAAAAAAAAACTCGCAGGTTTCCAGTTTCATATCGTGCCGGAGGATTTGGTGAGAATAGTACTAGTGATGATCATGGTGATAACGGCAAGGAAGAGTACAAGTGGCAATAGTACAAAAATGATACTAATCAGAGTAGCAAAACATCAGAGACATGAGTTACATGATAGTACGCATAGCCATGCTGGTGAGAGTACTGGTGTCCTGCATAGGGGCCTAATGCTTGCGCACTCTGAGAGCTGATGCTGTCAGTTAGAAAGTACCCCTCAATACATTGACTGAGGCGGGAACACTGGAAGGAAACAGAAAGGAAACGGAGGGGACCCGATCTGGGGAACGTTGCCGTGCCACTAAAGATCATGCGAAAGTTCAAAAGTTCTTCACAGTGTGTCTTGCGAGCGTGTTTTCCGTGCGTCTGCGGCCCGTTGCTTATTTCTCTCTCTTTCCTTTGTTCTCACAGCGAGCTTCGAAAAGCTTGTCCCCTCCTAAACCCTAAACTCCAAGCCCGAAACCCTAAACCCCAAACCCTAAACCCTAAACCCTAAACCCCGAACCTCTCAATTTCGGCACTCCTGGAAGTTCGATTCTTGCCATCACCAGCTCCGGTCGAGTCCACGGACTTCTCCGAGACGAAGGACTCGGCAGACAAGGGCCCTAAAAACCCCTGAAACCCTTAGGGTTTAGGGTTTAGGGTTTAGGGTTTAGGGTTTAGGGCTTAGGGCTTAGGGCTTAGGGTTTAGGGTTTAGGGTTTAGGGTTTAGGGTTTAGGGTTCAGGGCTTGGGGTTTCGGGTTTAGGGTTCAGGGTTCAGGGCTTGGAGTTGAGGGTGGAGAGCCTAACATGAGGGTTTCCGAAAGTAGGCGGAGCCTTCTTGGGGTCCTTACTATCAAAAAATCCTACTATTTGGGGGTCGACATTTGGGTCCCGTATTTTCGGCAACTCCGCTATAAAACCAGGGGTATACGGAGGGACCCTGGAATCTCCTTCCCCCTATACAACCACGACATCACCCTGGCATAGTCCCTATATTCCTAGGTAGCCCCTCAATTGCCGTCCAAAGAACCCCCAAGGTCCCTCAAACCCGAAGAAACATTCCCACACCCTACAAAAACCCGAAGCTTCGACGAAAGCGCACTTCCTCTGAGCTTGTCAGGCCTGAGGGCTTGGGAGCCAATACCATGTGTCCAGCAAGAACCATAGGTAATACCAACGGGTAACCAACATGAGGGTTTGGGGTTTGGGAGTTGGGGTTTAGGGTTTGATTAGGCATAATAATGGTCAACAAGTCCAGCATTGCTCAAAGTCCATCCAATCACCGCACCCGACACTCAAAGCCAATCATGATGGGTAGCACCTGTCAAAACACCCCAAACCCCAACCAGCCATCAAAGGCAGCGCTCCAGATTAAAGTCCTCTTTTCAGGACGCCATACGATTTTATCGGCCCCCTTTTCAAAGAAAACCCCCCGAATTTTCAGAGAACCGGGCCCCCTAAAACAAGGAGAGACCTCCGGGCTCCCCCGCCCCGCGCAAGGAGCCGCTTCCGCTGCCCTTCCTCGTCGAGAAGTTCGGGCGGAAGGCGCTGCCTCCCCTGGGCGACAGGGAGCCGGTGGCCTCGTCCATCAGCCTGCCGGTGGTGAAGTGAAAAACGCGTGGGCGCAGAAGAATGATAGCGGAACAAGCCCCAAAACCCCGCCCCGATTTGCAGCGCAGAGGCTCTCAGGGCGCAGGTTTAGTGTGTAAAGTTTCAGGGTGGGTAAAGGCATCGTTTTGATAGATTCCAAGTCCCATCGTCAAACCAATCAGGTCATGCCGAACTCCAATTCCCAGCTCGTGCATATGGGGGCTTATACGAAAATAGGGGACCCCCCCCCCCCCAAAAAAAAAAAACAAGTAGTAAGATCCCCTTCTCATACGGGCCCCAATAAGGTACCCCCGAATAACGTAAACCCTCAAAGCAAAGCACGGGTCTTTGCCGAATTCGTGGGTCCCGAATCATGGGCTTGGGATGCATGGCTTAGGGTTTAGGGTTTAGGGTTTAGGGTTTAGGGTTTAGGGCTTAGGGTTTAGGATGTTTAGGGTTTAGGGTTTAGGGTTTAGGATTTAGGAATTAGGGTTTAGGGTTTAGGGCTACCACTCCCCCGTCCCGAGGGCATCTCCCCCGCCTGGACACGGTTTGGCACTTGTTGTGGACGAAGCCCCTCGTCTCCGTCCTGGTCCTTGAGTTTTCCGAGGGCTCAGGGCTAAACAGGAGGTTTACGAAAATAGGAACCCTAAACCCTAAACCCTAAACCCTAAACCCTGGGACCCCTCATATAGACCCCCAAAGAGTAGGATCCCCTTACGATAAGGACCCCAACGAGGTACCCTTCATTTCGGAAAACCCATAGGGGCCTGAATAATTAGAACCGGGTTTTGGGTGGTGTTACATTATACTTCCAAGGGCACCCTAAGGGAATACCATTACTAAATATTTCGACCCCTATATTAGGCAGTCTTCCTCACTCGTAGGCACCAACAAGACGCCCCAATATCTACATGTAAAAGGCTGCTTGTTCAGCTGCTCCCACGCAAGTTGGCGCAGCAGATGCTTCATGCGCGTTTGCTTGCGGTACTTGGGGTGGTTGCAAAGGCCTGCTCGGTATTCGCAAGTTGCTTTTTTGGTTGGCAAGTAAGGCTCTATATTATAGCACTTATTAAGTTCCGGTTAAACAGGTTCTACACCACATTATCACCACCAGATATCCGAGATACCCGATTTATGACCCTGAACCCTAAACCCTAAACCCTGAACCCTAAATCCTAAACCCTAAACCCTAAACCGTAAACCCTAAACCCTAAACCCTAAACCCTAAACCCTAAACCCTAAACCCTAGCTCTGAGCCCCCAGGCCGGAAGATGTTGTGGTGGCCAGCCTGTCGGAGGGGTGCATGGGAGCTCCCAAAAAGGCCCCCCAACGATTTGCTACTATTTGCTTAAGAGCCCGAAAAGAATAACAAATAGTGATCCTTTTTCCCTTATAAGGAAGAATATTTCTTGTTTTTTGGGGGGTTCTTAAGCAACTTCTGGTTTGAGGTTGAGGGTTGTTTAGGTTCAGTGCCGCCACCTCCCACCCTATTCACCCGAATTAACAAACAAGACCGGCTGCTTTGGAGTTTGGGTTGGTTAGGGCTTGGGGAGATTGCGAGGCAGCCACTCGCGACTCTTCAACGCCACGGACGCCGCCGCTTCCTGTCCTTAGCCCCCTCAAAGGGACCGAAGAAGTGAATGTTCAGGACTAGGATGTTCCCCTTATACTAACTGTCCTTAGTAGGGATTCTAGCACCCCCCCCTATCATAATCCACATTAAGGACTGTCAGTATAAGGGGGAACATCCCAAGTTTCGGATCTTGCAAAGGGGGGTAAACCGGGTCAAGGGGGCCCACTCCTCCTCCTAAACCCTAAACCCTAAACCCTAAACCCTAAACCCTAAACCCTAAACCCTAAACCCTAAACCCTAAACCCTAAAGGGGGTCAGGGGGCCCACTCCTCCTCCAACTTCTTCTCCTCCGCGGTCTGTAGGAAGGCCCGGCGGACGGCGGTGCGCACCTGCGCTCTCCTCCGGGCTGAGGCGGGTTCTGGGTTGGGATGGTTTAGGGTTTAGGGTTGAGGGTTTAGGGTTTAGGGTTTAGGGTTCAGGGTTCAGGGTTCAGGGTTTAGGGTTTAGGGTTTAGGTTTAGGGTTTAGGGTTCAGCGTTTGGGGCTCTCTTATCCGAACAGCTCCTTCATCGGGATTCTGGTAGGGGTTACTATCATCCCTATTCAGGACGGGGAACATCCCAACTTCTGGGTTTTGAGCCCGTAGGCTCTGGCCTTCTTTGTGCCAAAGGCCCCCGGGGAAGGAGGTGAGGGGTGGGGGAGAAAACCACGGACCTGTCAACCTTTTTCTGGGTAAACCCTAAACCCTAAACCCTAAACCCTAAACCCTAAACCCTAAACCCTAAGTCCCAGCACAGCCAGGACAGCGCAGCGCCCCATGGCCTCAGGATCATGTCCACCTCCGGAAAGGACCGGGCAATCTCCAGGAGGTCATCTCGATGCAGGCACATGACCTCTGCGCAGGCCCAAGCACCGCAGAGCTCTTGTGGGAGTGGGCTTCGGGCTCGTTTAGGGTTTAGGGTTTAAGGTTTAGGGTTTAGGTTTAGGGTTTAGGGTTTAGGGTTTAGGGTTTAGGGTTTAGGGCTTGGGGCTTGGGGCTTAGGGGTTAGTGTGTAGGGTTTAGGGTTTAGGGTTTAGGGTTTAGGGTTTAGGGTTTAGGGTTTAGGGTTTAGGGTTTAGGGTTTAGGGTTTAGGGGGTTTAGGGGTTAGGGTTTAGGGTTTAGGGTTTAGGGTTTAGGGTTTAGGGTTTAGGGTTTAGGGTTTAGGGTTTAGGGTTTAGGGTTTAGGGTTTAGGGTTTAGGGTTTAGGGTTTAGGGTTTAGGGTTTAGGGTTTAGGGTTTGGCTTGGTGCACTTCAGAGAAAATTGTCCGCCGAGCCCCCGGGCAAAGCAATAGGCCAAGGTCCTGTCAGGGAGCTTCCAGGGCTTAGGCAAAAGGATTCTTTAGGGTTTAGGATTTAGGATTTAGGGGTTTAGGGGTTTAGGGTTTAGGGTTTAGGGCCTTTAGGGTTTAGGGTTTAGGGCCTTTAGGGTTTAGGGTTCAGGGTTTAGGGTTTAGGGCTTAGGGCTTAGGGCTTAGGGCTTAGGGCTTAGGGCTTAGGGCTTAGGGCTTAGGGCTTAGGGCTTAGGGTTTAGGATCTTTGTCAACCCCCAGCCCTAAACGGCCAATTTAGGGGCTTCGAAGTATTGCCCAGGAATTTGTGACCCCCTCCCCCCCCCCCCCCCCCCCCTACAAGAAAAAACAAAAACGGATGAAGGGAGAGGAGGGCTTGCTGTGAAGACCAAACCCACCCGCCCACCCCCCATAAAACCAGGAGACGAGCTCTGAACCCCCCGTTTAGGGTTTAGAAGGGAGGGTCCTGGGCTGGTACGTCGAGACCAAACTCTGGGATTCCAGGAGGATTCCCTCGATGCCCCAGACGTCGCCCCGCCTTCGGAGTTGAGAGGTAGAACTTGGAGGGTACTTGCAAGTAGGGCTTAGCGTGTAGGGCTGTTTGGGTTTTAGGGTTTAGGGTTTAGGGTTTAGGGTTTAGGGTTTAGGGTTTAGGGTTTAGGGTTTAGGGTTTAGGGTTTAGGGTTTAGGGTTTAGGGTTTAGGGTTTAGGGGGGTTACTTACAAGTAGGGTTACAAGGAGGGTACCTATGGCCTATGGTTATAGCCATACTTCTGGTACGTATAACCCCTGCTTATGAGTACCCATGAATCGAACCTCCAAGAAGATCGGTGGGCTTCGGCTGCACTGGCTTCTGGTAAGAGCTGAGGTGCTAGGCCCGAAGAGCTGCGAGTTCCGCGCACCCTCTTCTGCCTAAAGAGGAGAAAGGGTGCCCACTGCGAGGGGTGCCTCAGAACTTCCATGATACGAGCAGCCAGGGAGTGAACAAATCCTTAAGAGCCCAGATCCCCCACCAACTCCGACGAGACAGGCCTCAGGACCCCAGTGGCGCGAAGCCGCAAACCCCAAAACCCTAAACCTTATCACCCTAAAACCCAAACCCTAAAACCCAAACCCTAAACTCCCCCCAAAACCCCGAATCCCCAAAAACCCAAAACCCTAAACCCTAAACCCCAAGCCCTAAACGCTAACCCCCCCCCCCCACCACCCCATGGAACTGAGAGACGAGGGCCCGGCCTCAGCACTCTGCCCCTGCGAGGCTTCGGCTTAGACTCGCGGCTTCCGTGCTGGGGTTTGTTAGGGTGCTTGGGCCCCGGGGTGCCTGCCCTAAACCCTAAACCCTAAACCCTAAACCCCAAACCCTAAACCCTAAACCCTAAGCCCTAAACCCTCCTGGAGAGTTCACACCAGAAGCACCTGGCGAAGGCCTTCCCTGCTAAGGACCAGCAAGGCGCCTCACGCCCAGAAGCCCCTTCTGGATAACCAGGACGGCCTCAAATTGTCTTGGCGCCAGCGGGTTCAGGACTCAGAGTTTACGGTTTAGGTTTCAGGGTTGAGGGTTGAGGGTTTAGGGTTTAGGGCTAAGGCTTAGGTGTCAGGGTTTGGGGTTTGGGGCTCAGGTTTCCGGCTGTTGAATGAACGAGGCGCAAGCTCGCTTTGCCGCGGAGCTCCAAACTGAAAGAGGTCATCACTGTTCGGGAGTGCGGATCAGGTGGCCACTCCAGCACATCAACCCGAAACCCAAACCGAAACCCTAAACCCTGAACCCTGAACCCTCAACCCAGAACCCTGAACCCTGAACCCTGAAAAGCCCAGAAGCCAGTTCTGGAACCTACGAGGTTCTTCTCGCTTGGGGGGCTCTATGTAAGAACCTTCGAAGGGCCCGCAAAAAGATTGGAACCCCCAAAAGGAACCATGCTGTGGCTATCAGCCCGATGCACCAAGTTTAGAGCGCTTCGGATTCTGAGGGGTTCTGGGTGTGTGTGCGTGTTTTTGAGGGTCCTTGAGGGCTTGTTGAGGGTTTGTTGAGGGTTTGTTGAGGGTTTGTTGAGGGTTTGTCGAGGGTTTGTCGAGGGTTTGTTGAGGGTTTGTTGGGGGTTTTTGAAGTTTCTGAGGGTTTTTGAGGGCTTAAGGGTTGGGGTGTGTACTGTATGGGGCTTCAGCTTCGGAATTTTTGGAGGGGCTTCCTTTCGGAGGCCTGCCGGAGCATGATCACTTCCTTGGCGGGCGCTCGTGGAAAAGAAAGGGCCGCGGCTCGGGGAGTTTTCTGTTTGCTGGGAAGCCCTTCTGCCTTGTCATCTAGCCCTAAACCCCAAACCCCAAACCCCAAACCCTAAGCCCTAAACCCTGGTTCATTCTAATTTAGGCGTAGGGATAGTATCTGGGGCGGGAGGTGAATGCAAGCGGGTTACCAAGTACCCTAAATGAGACTAGAATGTATTGTAGCGATAGTTGCTCGAAACCCTCAGGGTTTTTGGGGTTTTGAGGTTTGCGCCCCGCGTTTAGGCTTTAGGGTTTGGGGCATTAGGGTGTAGGGTTTTGGGTTTTGGGTTTAGGGTTTCGCAGGGCTCAGGGCTTAGGGTTGCTTTCGTATGAAACTTGTTACTCTCCCTTGAACTTCGGGGCTTCCGCGGGAGCAGAGCCTATGACGATTTGCTAACCGGATCCTTCTTCTGATTCGGTGGGGAGTTGCAAAGGTTCATGGGCCTCCCTCATGCCATAAACCCTAAAGCCTAAACCCTCAACCCCTAAACCCCTAAACCCTAAACCCCTAAACCCTAAACCCCCAACCCCTAAACCCCTAAACCCTAAACCCTACACCCTAAACCCTTCGGGCTTATGGTTCAAACCCTAAGCGACCCCACACCTGGCGCAGCTTCGCTGCGGCCGAGCGGCGTTCGGTCCGAAGAACAGCGGGCTGAAGCACTTGGCCTCGGCGCTTGTTTTTTTGGGGGGTTTAGGGTTTAGGGTTTAGGGTTTAGGGTTTGGGGTTTAGGGTTTAGGGTTTAGGGTTTAGGGCTTAGGGCTTAGGGTTTAGGTTTAGGGTTTAGGGTTTAGGGTTTAGGGTTTAGGGTTTAGGGTTTAGGGTTTAGGGTTTAGGGTTTAGGGTTCAGGGTTTAGGGTTTAGGGTTTAGGGATTGGGCCTAAACCTTAGGTACCCAGACCCCTGGGAGGATGCAAAGAGTAGAGAGGATGCAAAGAGTAGAAGGGATGTTAGGGTTTAGGGTTTACATCCCCCCCTTTTTGCAAGGGGCACATAGGCTCCCGATGTCCCTCCTACATACCCCGTTTAACTTGTTAGAGCACACTTTCCCTCTTTCCCCAGTCGGAACCAATAGGTTTCGGAGATGCGGCGGCCCTAAACCGTCCAGGTCACCAGTTCCATGGACGCCTCGTCCGGAAATTCCTGCGAGAGAATGCAGAGTTTTAGAGGATCTTCTTTTGGTTTTCGGGGCCTTATACGGAAGTGTTAAAGACCTGCTTAGAGATTCTTCTTACGGATTTTTTTTTTTTTTGGGGGGGGGGGGGCTCTTGGGGGGATCGTCTCAAATCGGGGGGGGCTCGAGTTGCACTTTGGCAGTCGGCTCGAGGGATCAAGCCGGGTTTGGGGGCCTCAAGGGCCATTTGATGGGGAAACCCTAAGAAACGCTTAAGGCGCTTCAACCCTAAGAGACCCCACCCTAAACCCTAAACCCTAAACCCTAAACCCTATAAACCCTAAACCCGAAACCCCAAGAAACCCCTGAAGTTCTGATCATCAGGTACCCTTTGCTAGGGAGGTTATAGGGGCCATGTTAAGGGCCCAAGAAACTACCCTCAGACCTCAGAAACGCTTAAACCCCTGAGTGCTTGAGCCCCAAAACCCCTCAACCCTAAACCCTAAACCCTAAACCCGAGGTGGCAACATCCTGAGGACTTGCATGTTTCGCCTACCACCAGTGGCGAAAGCTCCGGCGAAAGGCCGAAAGTCTCTGCATGGCCTTCTCCTCAGGACCCGGGTTCCTGAAACTATGATGCTTCCGAATTCTTGCGACTGCTGATGCTACTAGACTATTGCTACCATCACTTCTCTTGCAATCCTGAATCATTTCCTTCTTCGTCGCTGTCCTCGGGTATTCACAGAGGTCTGACCCCATACCCCAAACCCTTAACCGCAAACCCTAGACCCCCAAACCCCAAACCCCCAAACCCCAAACCCCATTTAAACCCCAAACCTCAAACCCTAAACCCTAAACCCTGAACCCTAAACCCTAAACCCTAAACCGCCCCTGGTGGGGAACCCCCGGGCCCTGATGCCAAAGCCACGGATGGGCGAGGGCCCCCCCATGAGGGAACGCTACGAAAGGTAGCGTGAGCCGCCCCTTCTTGAGGTTTGTTGAGGGTTTAGGGGTTTAGGGTTTAGGGTTTAGGGTTTAGGGTTTAGGGTTTTAGGGTTTTAGGGTTTTAGGGTTTTAGGGTTTTAGGGTTTCAGGGTTTCAGGGTTTTAGGGTTTTAGGGTTTTGGGGTTTTGGGGTTTTAGGGTTTAGGGCTTTAGGGTTTTAGGGTTTTAGGGTTTTAGGGTTTAGGGTTTTAGGGTTTAGGTTTTAGGGTGATTTAAGGAGGGGCTCACGCGAACCTGCGCCAGGAAACACTCGAGCCTCCGAAGCCCAAAGCCCCTGAACCCCAGAAACGCCCACACTGTAGGGGTCGGAATGATTTCGAAGAGTATTCCCTTAGGGTCCTTCTATCATGATACCCCTAAACCCTGTTCTAACTATTAAGGTCCCTGATATGAAACGGCTTGGGTTTAAACCCTAAACCCTAAACATTAAACCTAAACCCTAAACCCTAAACCCTAAACCCTAAACCCTAAACCCTAAACCCTAAACCCTAAACCCTAAACCCTAAACCCTAAACCCTAAACCCTAAACCTCAGGTTTTTCCGGTGTCGTTGCTTCCCGGGGGCTTCGCAAGGTTTCGGAAAGCCCGAGAAGCGACTTGCAGCACATTTTGAGGTTTGCTGCCGGATCTTCCGGCAAGGCCCTCAGCCTGGAGGTTCACATGGGTACTTATAAGTAGGATTTAGGGTTTAGGGTTTAGGGTTTAGGGTTTAGGGTTTAGGGTTTAGGGTTTAGGGTTTAGGGTTTGGGGGTACTTCTATGTAGCGTTTGAAAAGTACCCTAAGTAAGGATAGAGCCATAGTTACCCTGCCTATGAACTCCCCCTTATAGGTACCCATCTGAACCTCCCAGCAGCTTTCGCCAGCGGCTCACTTCTTCCACTGCATCTTTGCCAGACTGCGCTGCTCCGCCCAGGTCAGCAAAGCGAGCAGCACGATGAACTGGGAGAGTGCTTCTGGGAATTCGGGATCTTTAGGGTTTGGGGTTTAGGGGTTAGGGCCAGTTTAGGGTTTAGGGTTTAGGGTTCAGGGTTCAGGGTTCAGGGTTCAGGGTTTAGGGTTTAGGGTTTAGGGCTTCGGAAGCTTCGGAAGTTTCGGAAGTGTTTTTAGGGTCATAATGCAGTCCTTAAGCCTCCCAAGGTTGAAGGGGTCTACCGGAGAGTGGGGTTTCTGCCAGGCGCTTGAAGCATACGTCCACGTTTGTCTGCGTGTGTACATATCTATATATATATATATGTGTATACATATAATATACATATATAATATAATATATGTGTGTATACATATATATATATATATATAGTGTTTTTGTGTATTGTGGTTGCTGGCCGTGTTTCCAGGCGTGTCTCTCTCAGATGGATACGTGTGGCGCCGCTTCTTTGCATCTGAGGTTCAAGGGAGGATCCGGAGCTACTCGGGGCCCACAAGTATGTGGGGATCCGGGACACTCTCGAAACCATCTCAGAGAGGCTGTGTGGAATGCACGAGTGGGTACTTTAGTACAGGGGTGGCAATAGTTACTAGTAGTATCGCCTTATGGTCCGTAATTGCAGAATTATGCTGCAATAACCCTTCAAACCCTATTCTGATTTCTTACGGTCCCGATATCAAGCCCCAAGACCTATTCCGGGGAGCATGAAGGCGACATTCGGCTCAAGGCGCTCACCAAAAGCTATCCCCAAACTCCCAAAGCACCCCCCCCCCTGAAGCCGTCTTCTGAAGAAAGCTTGGGCTTGTAGGGCCCCTCAAACCTGAAACTACTGCGAAGTTCAGCGAAAATTCTCTCGGCCCGGGCGCCACAACCGACAGCAGGGCAAGGAGCAGCCACCTGAACTACCGTGGGGTTCGGGTTTAAGGTCTAGTGTATAGGGTTTAGGGGACTAGTCCGGAAGCCTTTTGGGGCCTTGCTGGAACTTTCAAAATTTCTGAAACGTGAGCCCTCAACAACACTCAAAACCCTTTCAAGCCCAAACCCCTTGAACCTAAACCGATGAAACCCCCCAAACCCCTTTAAAACCCTATCAAACTCCTGAAGCCTCTCATGGGATGCCATAGTTCTCCGTCAAGTACCGAGCCCCAAACACCTGCAAGTTAGGGAGAGTTTCGGGGTTCGTGCGTCACTGGGGCTTGGAGCTTATGGGTATGTTTGTTCTTGGGCGTTCTGGGGCGGCAGAGCAGCCTAAACCAAAACGGGCAGAGAGTTTAGATCAACTCCCCCCCCCCACCCCCCCGGAGCAGTTGCTGCCAGGAGGCGCGCGGGAGTTGTCTGCTTCTGGGTGCTGAATCTTGTGAACTTCGTCCTGTCATACTCGCTTCGGGGCACCCTCTTGCGGGCCGAGGTGGCATGGGAATGTCTTGGGGTAGAGGTCCACAGATAGGCTTTCGAGCCATGGATTCGGAAGGCCTTGAAGTCACAGAGCTTCTCGATGGATTCGAGCTGCTTCCTCTCGTCCTTCACACAGGATGCTGGTTTTGGGCTCCCGGTGAGAAGTTCTCGGAAAAAGGATGCAGGGAGCTGGCGCGAAGCCGTTTGAGCCTGTGCCAGATTTGCTGCAGAGCCTCAGCTGCCAATTGAGATTACTCCCAGCCGCCAGGGCCTTCTACCAGGCAACAAGCCCCAGACCAGACGCGCAGTTCTGCGCCTCATAAGGTTGGCCATGTCAAACCAGTTCAAGGATGCCGCCCCGTCTCCCTATACTCCCTTTAGAACCCTAATAAAAAAAAATATTTTTAATATCCTCTTGGGCTTTAGATAAACAACAATAAATCCCCAAGGGGATATAGTCTCCTCCGTCTGCGTCAGCTTCTGCAGGGTGCCCTTTGTGATGACCCACGCATTGGCCTGCGGCCGGCTTTGGGGTTCGAGAATAGCACTGCAGAACCTCTGCGGTTTAGGGTTTTAGGGTTTTAGGGTCTTTGGGTTTTAGGGTCTTTGGGTCTTTGGGTTTTAGGGATTTAGGGTTTTAGGGTTGTAGGGTTGTTTGGGTTTTGGGGTCTAGGGTTTAGACACCCGCCACTTCAAACCGCAGCCCCAAAAGGAAGCCCTACAACGTCTTCGGCAGCAGGTGTTTTGCAGCCCAGTCCGACGCTGTCCAGTAACCCAAAACCCTAAACCCTAAACCCTAAACCTTCTAAACCTTCTAAACCTTCTAAACCCTAAACCCTAAACCCTAAACCCTAAACCCTAAACCTAAACCCTAACCCAGTTACGCGCTCGGAACTTCAGATCCTGAAAAAATGGCAGCAGCCGCGGAAACCCCAAAAACCCTAAACCCTACCTCCCTAAACTCCCAAGCCCTAAAACCCCCAGACCCCTAAACCCCCAAACCAACCCGTAAACCTCTTTACCTCTGAACCCCAAACCCTAAACCCCCATAACCCAACAACCCCAAACCCGAAACCCCTAAACCCAAACCCCCAAAACCCCAAACCCTAAACCCCAAACCCCAAACCCTAAACCCTAAACCCCCAAACGCCTGCTTCAGGGCCCGGCTACAGCTTGCCCAGGCTTTCACCGCGACTTCGAAGCTGTCTCCCGTGATGGCCGCGTTAAAGGCCTGGCACCCGAAACCCTAAACCCTAAACCCTAAGCCTAAACCCCAGGTTTAGGATTTAGGGTTTAGGGTTTAGGGTTTAGGGTTTAGGGTTGAGTGTTTAGGGTTGAGGGTCTAGGGTCTAGGGTCTAGGGTCTAGGGTCTAGGGTCTAGGGTCTAGGGTCTAGGGTCTAGGGTCTAGGGTCTAGGGTCTAGGGTCTAGGGTCTAGGGTCAGGTCAGGGTTTAGGGTTTAGGGTTTACGGTTTAGGATCAGCCTCCAAAAGCCTGCATCCGGCCTTGAGCCCCTTCTGCATCTCGCCATTGAAGCAGTACACCTGTTGTTGCGATTTTTTGTTTTGGGGGGAGTAGAGGGGGCGGGCTCGCGGGGGGGCGGGGGGGGGGGGGGGGGGGGGGGAGTAGAGGGGGCGGGCTCGCGATTTGGGGCCCCATATGCCGACGAAGACCTCTCCTAAAGCCCTGCGCCACCCGCCCTG